CTTCTTCTTCTTCTTCTTCTTCTTCTTCTTCTTGCTCTTTGGTTTGGACGACACGTGCATTTGTTGGGAATGTATGTGATATGTTTTTTTTAACATCGATATGTAATGTTTGGGATTAGATTGAAGTTTCAATGATGGTATCCGTTTTCACATGCATATCTTCTTGAGTGGAATAACTACAGCGCGCGTCTTGATATCGTCTTGAATCCATCAAATAAAATAAACAGTATTATTCATTTCTCATTATCTCATCGAAAACAACTCATAAAAAAAGATACTCTAGCAATCAATGCTGTGAAATTTTAAATTCCGTTGCACCATAGCCATCTTGAGTACTTCCAATATTCCACTGCTCCTCCTTTTGGGTTTTCTTTAGTAGACATAAAAGTTCTGAGCATCGCTGTCCTCCTCGCGAATCTGCTTGTTCTTGCGGAGAAACAGGATCTTGGCAACCCAGGCCAGGACGGCAGTCATGACGGAGAAGGCGGCGGAGGAACTGAGCGCAATGATGTACTTGGGTTCGTCGGACTTGGGCCAGAGGTAAGGGGTCCTGTGTTGGTCATGTTAGCTTGGCTGTCATTTTTTTTGTAAGTTTCGTCTAAAAAGAGAGGAAGCATACCAGATAAACGAAGCGTTCATGACAGTAGTCACGATACCGATTGCGACGGCCTTCTTCTCAGGTGTTTGACCACAGGTGGATCCACACCAACCGAGAATAAGCGAGTTGACACCGTAGGTACCGATGGTGAAGATGACCATGGCGACGTAGCGGCCCGCAACACCGATTTCAGCGCAGGCGAGTCCGAAACCGAAAGTGGCTACTGCTTTGGAGATGGTGATGTGCCAGGTTCGTTCGTTGAACTTGCCCGAAGACCACGACACGGCGATTGTGACGGCGCCAGCGATGAGGTAGGGAGGGCAGGTCAGGACGAGGGTGATGGTCTGGCTGAAGCCGAGGGTCTTGACAACGGTAGGGAAGAAGTTCTTGAAACCTATTTGCCAAAGTTATTACACTGTCCTGCTCCCATATCCAAAAGTTATGTTTAGCTTACCATTAGCAGCCAAATGCATGTGTGCCATGCCGGCAAAGATCCAGACCATGGGGTCCTTTCCAGCCTGGCGGAAACCAGCCCACACAGATGTCTCACCCTGGTTGCCGACAGTATCGAGGGCCATGCGGTTAGTGGCGAGATCACGCTCCTCTTGGGTCAACCACCAGGTGTTGTGGGGGAAGTCGGGGAGCAAAAAGTAGCCAGCAATTGCAATAACAAAGGTGACGGCTCCCTGAAGGATAAAGAGCCACTTCCAGCCACTGATCCCTCCAACATCACTCAAGCCGTGAAAAATGCCTGCGGCAATAAGACCAGCGAAGGCGGTAGCGAGAATGTTACCAGTGTACAGGATGGCGATACGGGTTGCGACCTCCTTACGGGTGTAGAACGAGGACAGCAGATAGACAGCGCCAGGGTAGTACGGAGATTCTGTGATACCTAGGAAGAAGCGGGTGAGGAGGAGACCAGTAAAGTCCTTGGACAGCGCAGTGAGGGCGGAGACGACGGCCCACAGAGCCATGCAGACCCCCATGTATCGTGATGGGCGAACTCGGTTGAGAAGCATGTTGCTGGGAATCTGACCAAGCAGGTATCCGACAAACAGGATGCTGACGCACGTCTGATACTGCGTGCTGCTGAGGTTGAGGTCCTCTTCCAAGTCATCAAGACGTGCCAGTGCAATAGCATTACGATCCTGTGTAGTGTCAGTGATTCTGCTGTCTTCACAATCAGGTGGCTGGGTGACCATACCAGGTAGTTGAGCCAGTACATGGACCACAACATGGGCATAATCCATTTGTCCAGCTTCTTGACCAGCGCAATTTCTCGCGGATCCGTCTTCTCATGAGCTCCTGAATAATCGATCTTGTCGACTTGAGGGATGGGCTTTATGGGCTCATCATCATGAGTTTGAGCCCGCTCCATCATAACGGCATGGTCCTTCTTGGTGTCCTGCATGGTGGCGGTTTTGTATCAATATTCCAGTCAAGTTACTGTTCTACAGCTACAAAGACTTGGAAATGATGTGGTAGACAAAGAGATGAACAAAGTACTGTTAGATCCCCAGAAACCGAGCTGGATGATCTGGAGAAGAAAGAATCCGGGGACGTGGGCTTCGTCTCTTATATTCACGGCCCACGTTTCAGTGTGGGGTGAAGACCTCCATGTTTTTTGCCCCAGATCATCCCCAACTACTCTCTTCCGAAAACACACGAACTTGTCAAGGTACCTCCGCGCGTGCATGCCTTCCAAGCCATCTCAGGGCACTTCTCCCGGCCGCCTTGGAACAAGTTTGGAGCTCCCGGTGTGGCTAAAACGGGGAATGCGGGGTTTCCAAACACAATTGCCCAGCGCTCAGACAAAGTGATTGGGTGCAAATCCCGATTCTGAATCGCAAATATGCGAGTTGTGGAGGGCCCTGAGGGCGGACTGCCTTAGAAGCTGGGCATCACCAGTCACCTTTCCGCATTCTAATAGCTTAGGCTGGGGTAACGGACAGCGCCCACTTGTCGGAGGTCTCGTATCCGACGCAACTGCAGTATCGATATTCAAATAGTGTGAACGCCACCTACTGTAAGCTACACTGATGGTCACAAACAGGCGGCTTGGTCCCTTTGACGCCGAGTCCCCTCTTGAGAGTGCAAAGAATGCAAAGAAGTCTTTTCCAAAAACAAGACTCTCTCTCTCGGTCAGCATGCACTGCTGACATCGGAGGCGAAGAAAAAAAATACGCATATACCATCCCAGGAAGGTAATCCGTATGACTGCCGACGGCTTGACGGCTGGGGTTCGTCATGGAGAACGTTTCTTAGTCAGTCCTTGTGACTGGTTCCGGTCAAAAGCCCAGACAAAACCCTGGGCTTCGGCGGCCTTGTCGGGGAGACAAGTAGTTTGGCAAGTCCACAAAGGCTTGGTGTTTCGTGATGCCGACTGAGCTGGTAGGGAAACCAGCTCGGTGTTCCACTAACGTCTAGGCCAAGCGAGCCCAGATCAACCCCAAGATCCCAAGATCTTGGGCTAGTGGCATTGCGGGGGATTTCGTGCCAATGGTGGAGCTTGTTGCATAATTAGAGAGCTAGTTGTCTTGTGAAGCATGGGTTCTCAGCCGCGCTGCAGTTGTGATCGCGTGTTTGGAGAACAAGTGGTCGAATTGGTTGGGGATGGTGTGACTTCGTCTCGAGCGTGGCCAAGGAGCGTGGCTTCGACTTTTCTTCCACCCTACCACGGACCCGATCATGTCGCGGCCAAGCGAGTCCGTGGAGCAATTCTCGTCTTGGCCAACACGCACCGCGCCAAAGGTTGTTGTCTTTCTCCACGGGACATTCCGGGTTCAGGTCGCGGGAGGTAGTGGTGATGGCAAGCCATGCCATGTACAACACCGGAAACTAGCAAGTGCCCAATCCGTCGATAGGAATGCAGCGGTGCGATATCCGCTCTCGGGTTATGGACGTAGATGACGTGAGTAATACGCGCAGTACTAGAGAAATCCTCGGGTTATCCATCTAGCCATACGGTAATCACGGCCGTGAGTATAAAGTGGACGGGGCGCTTATGACGGCGGTTGTGACGGTGACAGCGACGATCTCCCAACAAAATCTGAAAGGGCACGTTGGGACCCCATGGGGTTGTGGAGCAAACAGGTTTACCAAGTGCCTGGATGTAACAGTGTGTCGCTGATCCTTTGTGTTACCCGACGGAAGGGTTAAGCTAGGGAGCACGGTGATACCAACCAACGAAGACCTTTTTTTCTCGTCAGCATGTCGATGTACATTGGGGCGCAATGCTAGGACTCGTTAAAGGGCGGGAATTGCTTTGATATATACCACTGCCAATCGAGCTGCGGATAAGTATCCGCACAAGCAAGCCGGAAGTGCGGATCCAGCTTGTCGCGTGAACAGCTCCAAGATTCCTCGGTGCTTGGTTCTGATGCACTGCCAAACTCATCACCGATCTAGCATAAGAACTTGGAGAGTTGATATGGCTATACCAAGAGCCTGTAGGATTTGACATGGAATGGCTCTTTTCCTGTCAACCATGGTCAAGACAGCTTTCCACAACACGCTGTCTCCGCGCTGTGAGATAACGAAGCAGACATCGGATGGTTATTTCGAAAATATGGACATATTCATCTTTCTAGAAATGGACGGTTCAACTAACGGTGGTTCGGGTTCTTTTGGGTCGAAAAAGAGTTGCCGCGTTTGAGCATGTTGAGAAGTCGAAACCATAGTTGAGTGAAGGGGCCCGCTTTGGTGGTGCTTCACACTAATTATGAAAAACGCCGATTTTCGAATCAGGCTTTTCGATCTGTAACAGGAATCGCGCACTTGACAATTACTGCATGTTTGCCTCGCGCATCCAGGCTGTAACCCATGGTTGCGGAACGTGGTGAATATCAAGTATCTTGAACCAGAAAAGCATGGTTTTCTATTTTAAGAAATGTTGCGCAGCACACTAATTCCCGTCTTTCTCGATGCAGGGTCGACTAAATCGAAGCCAGGTAATTGCATCGTCATGACATGAGGTAGGCTTCTTAACAGCAAACTTGCGATGCGCGTCGAATCAGCACCGTCTCTGATTTCGTTGAACCAATGCTCCCGATCACCTAGCCTCACGTACAACTCGAGGTTCTTCCTGATGATGGCATCGAGGTCTGGGTGGTTGGGCCAAGGGTCGAGATTGCCGCCGTATGCATGTCGCACGCACAGGGAACGCACGGCTTCGCGATGAGGTGCAGATGTCCAGAATAGGAGCGCTAAGGGGCGAAGGTACTTGAAGTCGTCTTTTTCGAGTTCAATGTTTGCATATAGTCGGGCAGTTGCGATACGGTTCATGTCTTTGGATACCAGGCAGAGGGCATGAAGTGCCCTGCGATCTTGGTAGCACATGATCAGATCGAGTAGCTCATCGGGTAGTACCTCGATTCTTGATAGGCCCATGACGTCGTTTTTGCGAAGAGTCAATTTATATAGGAGGTGGTAACGAAATGGTAGAAGCACGAGAACAACAAGTAAGACGAAGAGCAGGCTAATGAGAAAGGAAAAGAAAGGACGGGAGCGGACCGTAGGACGCCATACCGTCATATGTAAATACACGTCCGGGTACCTACTCGTCCAATGTCACGCTGCACGGGCCAAGACTAGGGCCATTCAGGTACAAGACACGGCAGTTGCGATATTGCGCTCATCGTTCGGAAGGAATGGTGCTGACGCCGCCCCTACTAGCCAATGCTCAGTGCCAAGTCCACATATATGAGTACGTTGGGAGATTCAAAGTATTGTCATTCATGGCACATTTACTTCGTGATGACGAATCCTACACAGTCTACTTCATGGAGCAGTCAGGAGTCGTCCTAAATCACGTGCAGACTACTTGAACTCCTTCATGAAGTCCTCGTGGAACTTGACAATACGTCCAGTCCAGTCGGTGCCGGGGGCAAGGAAGGTCGTCCTAAAATGCAAAGTTCCTTCCTTTTGTCCAAAGCCGGTTCCAGCGACGACACAAACACCGGTCGCATCCAACATGCGGAAGCAGTAGAACTCGTCTGGAGCCCGACCTTCCTTCTTGGCCTGCTGAACAGCTTTTTCCGGGAGGTGGATGGTGGGGAAGAGGTACATGGAACCCTAATGGTTTGCGTTAGCACTCTGAATAGCGACTGGCTCTGCAAGGGATCAAGGGTTCGGTAAGGCAATAGGATTGTACTCACCTGAGGCTCATTGCACTCCACTCCCTCCATCTTCTTGAAAGCTTCATACAGCGCATACGCGCGCTTCTTCAGTCCGTTGAAAATGCCATCGTACTCTTCCTTGTACAGAGGGTAGCTTGGCTCACCCTCCTTGGGTGGGTTGACCATCATCTCAACAATGCACTGGCCGAGCACCGGCGGGCACAACTGAATGGAGATGAACTTGTAAACCTCCTGCGCAACCTCTGGGTCGAAGCCGACGAGCTCAAAGTATCCTCCGCGGTGTCCGCACTCGCCAACCATGCCCTTGGAGACGGAATGGAGAGAAGCCAGCTCCAAGTGGTCGTATTTGCCAGGGGTCTCCTTTTGCAGGTCACGGAGAGCCTTTTTGAAAGAGATGAACTCGCCAATGAAGACGTTGGTCTGGTACACCTCATCTGCGATGACAACAACGCCCTTTTCGGCAGCGAACTGAAGAACAGCCTTGATGTCCTCGGCGGGGAGCGAAGCACCAGTTGGGTTACCCGGGTTGATGACACAGATGGCCTTGACATCTGTGCCCTCGCTGACTGCCTTGTCATAGGCTGTTCGGATAGAGTCGAGCGATGTGCCCCAAGCCTGCTCCTCGTCAAGGTAGTATGGTACGCAGCGTGCGTTGAGTACGGATAAGGTAGCGGTGTAGAGAGGATACTGTGGGATGGGGACCATGATGCCAGTCTCGGGCTTTGCGCAGATTGTGTGGAGGAGTGTGTTTACACCAGACGAAGCGCCATTGCTGAGGTAGATGTCCTCAAACTTGGCTGGGTAGCCATCTCGACCTACATTTTGTTAGTTGGAAGGTTGTGACTGGAGGCACCGCTGTACGAACGCTCAATGTACTCTGCCACGCTCTGTCTGATGCCGGGAGCACCCTGGCTTTGGCTGTATGCGCCTACACTCTTGACCTCTTTCAAGAGCTTCCTCGCGCGGTCGACAACATCTGACTTGTATCCGAGGCTGTTGAGTAGGACATCCTCATGCTCTAGCAGACCCGGGTTCTCGAGTATACTGGCGACCTGCCTGAAGAATGTGATGGGCTTCTGGTCTAGTTGTTGAGGGTTGCCAATGTTTGCTGCAATGACAGTGTCAAAGGGCAAGTCACTGCCCTCACCCTTTGCCAACTTGGCGCGGTACTCTTCCGACTTGACGGCTAGTTCACCACGCACGGCATACTGGGCTGCCTTGACGTGGGGGTTGATGTTGCCAATGTTCAACACCTTGCCTGGTGCCTTGGACATGATGGTGCGTGTGTGTGGGCGGTGCGATGAAAAATGTGCGGGTCGGGCCGGCGATGAAGGTCGTAGGAGTGGATGGTGGAGAGGGGTGGAGGAGGTAAAGGGTGTATAGAGGACTAAGGTTGTGAGCACAGGTCTGGACTAAGTATGGTTCCGGTGAAGGCGATGCGCATGCAAGATGCTAGTTCCCGCGACGCATTCGAAACACGTAGGACATGTATGCGTCAAAAAGTAGTCCATATTTTTTATGCTACTCGAGTGGTGCCCCACCCCATAGTGGTGCTCCCACGACAAACGCCTTGCCCCTCGTCGTAGCGCGGCACCATGCGGGCATCTTTAGTCACGTCGTGTCTGGCGACTGACCAAGTTGCGAAGAGGGCTGGGGATCGGAAAATACCTCGTGAACCCACGTTGCCACCACTCTGCCGTGCTCTACTCCCACGGGCGCAAAGTGAGCGGACAGACGCCTGCGCCAAAGCCGATGACGGCGACATTGTAGCTGGACCCTGAGTGCTTATCGACGGCGTCGCTCGAGGCCGATCACCCCACACCTGGCGTGGGCTCTGCACCGGCGGCGTCGAATCGAGCTCGTAAGAAGCGATGTAATGGGGGCGTGGGAGTCGCAATGATACAAATCGACGTCTAAAAGGTAGACAATGGATACATCTCTAGGGCATAAAAGCAATATTGCGCCCCGTTATCGCACCGCATGCCGCTCCCGCCTTGCCGACGAGCTGCAACACGGAGATAGCGGGGCTAAGGCTGCGGATAGGGCAATGCAATGCGGGCCTCGAAACCTTCACCGCAACGCCTAGAACGAAAGAGGTAGCATGTTGACGAGGGCGATTACTCTAATATTTCTTTCAGCTGACTTTGCGCTGTTTTCATCTAGGCCTAGAATATCACATCATCATTACACGTTTGCCTGGCTAAAGGCCAATGTCTAACCACGCTCGCTTCCCCTCAGCCTGACGGCTTGGCCATACTTTTGCAGCTTGGTGATGAGCTGGTCACCCTGCTTGACTACGTCCGCGTACTGCTTGTTCTTGTCGTCTGGGCGGTTCGTCTCGATGATGCCCTTGACCCGGTCAATCGTGCACGGAATGCGGTCGGCGGCGATGAAGCGGGCAAGGTCCCTAATCGTCATAATTAGTACAAGTGTAGACTACATGCAACAGGTCATGACTTACTTGTCGAGGAAGTCAACAGTGACTCCAAAATCTCTGGCCATGCTCTCCAGACCAACCACGCGGTACGACTGGAGGAGCTGTTGGTAGGCCCGCAGACGCATCTCGCGGACATACCAGCCGCGGTGCTCGTACATGTAGCGGTCTTGGCTGAGGAAGTTGGTCTCTACCTCGCCTAGGGCACCGAAGAAGCCCTTGTAATCACCCTCGTACAAACTCTTGACTAGCTTGGATAGCGGGGAAAAGTCCACTGCCGCCTCCTGGTCTTGTGATCCACCAAGGGTAGTGAGATTGACAACCGTGGGGACAGGAGTCGCTGTTGAGCCTGATGCGTCTGCCATCTCCTCATCGCCCGCTGCTGGTCCTGCCGAAGCCTGCCCAGTGATGGCGGAGAGCTTCTCCTCCGAAGTGCCCACAATCGCCTTGATCTCTGGCGCATCCACCACCTTGGACTTGAAATCAACACGCTTGAGTGCTACCGAGCCCGCAAGAATGGCGTAGACCACAAGGTTCGAGTAGCTGCAAAGCTCATAGCTGGTAAAGGTTGACAAACTATCAAGCAGCAGCGGGGCAGCTTGTGAGTGTGATCGGACAGTGAGGTAGTGCAATCCAGTGTATGCCTTGAGACGATTGCGACGATCCCAATCACCACCACTCTCTACCAATGCGCTGGCTCGGTCAATCGACTTCTTGGCCAGTATCCTGTCACCGAAGAAGAGCGCAATGCGTATTATGGCAAGGACGAGGTCGATCTTGGTGCCCAGGATGCCCGTCTTTTCGAAGATGGCCTCGTAGCTGGCAATGGCTTTGTCCTGTATCATTGTCAGTGGCATTTTCCTTTTGTATAGCGCGCAAATGGAATACCTTGTCGCCTATGCGGTTGTACAGCTCCGCGCGCTTTCCCCGCGCAGCCTGCACTTCGGTCTCGCCAGCCTTCTCCTCTGCCTCCTCTTCCTCCTTTTGTATCGCCTCCAACTCCTTCTCGCACTCGGCCTTTAGGCTCTCGTACAGCTTCTCATCCCAGGGAAGTGGCACTTCGAGCGTCGGGGTCCGTGTGGCAAGCATCGTCGCTAAGCTGGCGGAAGGTCTCCGGTTCCTGCTCGGCTGGTCTGCGCTGCCCTCGCCTTGTGCATTGAGAACGCCATCTACAGGGTGTGCAAGGTATCGGTAGAGGGGCGCCATCTTGTTCTCGGCGATGCCATCCTGAACCGACTTCAAGGCAGCTTGCTTTGCTTGTTTCGAGGCGGCGGGATTTGTGAGCTGGAAGATGTGCTGCGACAGCTGGAGGTCGGGATACTTTGCAAATTGCGGATCACCCATGGTGGCTGATTGTGTGAGATGGGGAGGGTAAGGAAGTGGTGGTGGTGGGTAATAGCGGACGGCGTTGAGTCGTGGGGATGTTGATGTGATGACGGGAGTGTCTTGCCCGCCGCCGCTGAACTTCCGCAGGTAAAGCTCGCGCACGGCCCTGAACACTGGAGACGCGGAACGCTAGAACAACGGTTGCACTTGGTCTTTCTGGTCTTCAGTCTTGTTCTTCTTTTACCTTGCTAATTTTTCTACTAAACTACAAAGACCCTCCATACTCTCACATAAAGTCACCTTTTCTGATAATCCAACGCACGCACTACGCCCACCAACACTCCATCTTCACCAACGCGTCGGACCCAGAACCCGCCAGTAGACGCGCTGCACCAGAAGCTACACCATGGCGGGCGCCGAGCAAAATAACAAACGCGCACGCTCACCCTCGAGATCACCGTCTAGATCACCGCCACGCCAACGAAAGCGTCCGGGAGCAGGCGCACGTGTGCCTGCTGCCGACCGAGAAGCGGCTCGTAAGCGACAGCAGGCACGAGAAGAGGAGGCAGCTAGACGGGCACACGAAGAAGCTGCACAGCGTGGTGTGCATGATGTTGTCAAGCAGCACTACAACATGGTGCCGGAGCGAGGCCGTGAATGGCGCAACACTGACAGCAAAATCAAGGGACTGCGCAGCTTCAATAATTGGATCAAGTCGTCCATCATCCAAAAGTTCATTGGCGATGAGCGACACCTCAAGATCCTGGACATTGGGTGCGGAAAGGGCGGTGACTTGGGCAAGTGGGAAAAATCGAGAAAAATCGAGCTTTATGTCGGCTGTGATCCAGCAGACGTGTCCATTCGACAGGCCAAAGAACGATTTTCGCAGATGCAGAGGAAGAACAGGCGTCTTTTCCATGGCGAATTCTACGCAAAAGACTGCTTTGGCGAGTGGCTAGGTGATATACCCATCATCAAGGAGGTGGGTATTGATCCTGGTGCTGGGCAGGGAAATGCTATGAGCCAGCGCTGGGGCGGTGGTGGCTGGGACATGGTCACAATGATGTTCTGCATGCACTATGCCTTTGAAAGTGAGGCCAAGGCCAAGGGCATGCTTCGAAACGTTGCTGGCGCCCTCAAGAAAGGAGGGCGATTTATTGGCTGTATCCCCAACTCGGATGTTTTGTCGCAAAAGGTCATTGAGCACCACAAGGCCAAGGGCACAGCACCACCAGAGACAAATGGCGGTGCCGATGACGACGATGACGACCGCCCAGCGTTTGCAAGCGATGACGAGGACGACTGGGACCCTGAGAAGAGCCTCGATAGCCCCAAGCCTGCCGACACAGAGCATAAGAATGGCGACAAGCCTACCGAGACAAAGGACAACGAAAAGGAGGAACAGGAAGACGGCGAAGTCGAAGACGAAGGATTCAGTTTTGGAAACAGCATCTACAGTGTCAAGTTCCCTGGCAAGACACCTCCAGACGGCACATTCCGCCCGCCCTATGGCTGGAAGTATTCATACTGGCTGACGGAAGCCGTCGAGGCACCTGAGTATGTAGTACCGTGGGAAGCATTCCGAGCGTTGGCCGAAGACTTCAACCTTGAACTACAGTACCGCAAGCCATTCCGAGACATCTGGGAGGAGCAAAAGGACGATCCAATTCTCGGGCCGCTGAGCGAGGTTATGAAGGTCAGGGATCGTGCGACAGGCCGGTTGCTGACTTCGGAAGAGGAATTAGAGGCCGCGGACTTTTATCATGCCTTCTGTTTCTACAAGGTCTAGGTGATAGCGTTATTGGCGTCTGGCGTCTGGCTTGTGGGACAGGCTGGTGGACGAAATGGGTATCTATACGTGCGATGTGCTGAATCGCAGCAACCGAGGAAGGCCAGATGTGACATGTCTATACAATGAGTCTATAAATATTATTTTGCAAAGGGAGATTGCGATCATGGGTCATGATGATAACTTAGGTCACCGAGGAAAGACGGAGACATGCAACAGCGACTGCAATAGTAATGTAAAAGCAACAAGGGGAGAGGAAAAAAGTAACCGAGTGTTTCGACTGCAACAAGCCGGTGTGCCATATTCACATGTGTCGCGTAGGTCCAGCTCCAAGCGTGTTAAGGTGTACTTGTAAGCTAGGTGATAATGTGACGTGTGGATCGAGTTGCCGAGGTGGTCGCGTTTTCCCCGGCAATCACGCTCAGAGAGCGACCGACTCCCTACGCTTCCGCACGCGGGCTCCGCACTTGTCGCATCCCCAGACGTTCCCTTTCTCAACCCACACCTGCCCTCCCCGGACACTCCTGTCTTTGCTCTCTCACTCTCTCTACCTACATCAGAAGACAAACCGCCCTCCCATTTGCATACAAGAGAAAGATTGGAGCTGGACTTCTACTCCTTCGCCCTCGCGGTTGCATACTCGGCCTGATATATTCGGATCCAAAGCACAGCAGACAATATGGTTGCGGACGCTCTAGTTTACCACCCGACGGTGTCGCATTACCTCAAGTTTGTCGCGACAACTGGTACGTTTTGCTTTCCTTGTTGCTTAATTGATATGCTGGGCATATACATACAACACATCCCGCATAACCCACTTCCTTTACGTTACATACGCCCCCCATCATCCTCGTCCTTCCATCTGACATGTGAACAGTCGGGCGCGACAAGGTGCTGCGAACGCTGCAGTACTTCTCTCGATTCCTAGCCTGGTACCTGTACCGCACCAACCGCCCAGCATCGACCATCGCGCCGTTCGATGCGACCAAGAAGACGTTTGGCCAGACGCGCAAGCTCATGCGCGTGGGCAAGTTTGTCGAGCACTTCAGGGCTGCGGCTGTAGCTACTGATGCCAAGAGCATGGATCCCGTGCTGAGGTTTACTGCTATTGGAAGACAGTTGGGATATGCGTTTTATATGCTGTGTGATAACGCTTGCGTGGTATGTACCTGTCCTCTCACGTCAAATCGATACCTCGATCCAAGTCAGTAGCTAACATCTGACCCACTAGCTCGACGCAACCGCCATCCGCAAGTCTTCCTACGCCCCGCGTCTGCTGCGCGAAGGCTACCGCGCCTGGTTCGCGGGTATCTCGTGCTCGATTGCCTCGGGCCTGTACTCGTACTACAACTTGCTCCAGCGCTCAAAGGCCATTACCCAGTCTTCGGACCCAGAGAAGGTCGTTGAGACGAAGAAGTTGCAGGTCGAGCTTAATGCTGTCAAGGTCCAGCTTATCAGCGACCTGTGCGATATCACTATCCCCAGTTCGGCGCTTGGTTGGGTCGATCTTGATGATGGTATTGTGGGATTGGCCGGTACGACGAGTTCGCTGTTGGGTGTGTGGGCACAGTGGAAGAAGACTGTGTAAGTTGGGGTGATTATGTAGGGGTGTTGTACAATGCTGGTGTAAGAAGAGAAGGATACAGGGGAGTAGGAGGAAATGTGGATTTTTAATTTGCCTCTGTCGCTTTTTTTCGGAACTCGCTTGTGATTTTCACATGTCTCAAACTGTGTTTATATGCGTCTTACCAATCTCCCAAGCTATCTTCCTTAGCTTTTTTCCCGTCATTCTGGTTCTGGGAGTTATGCTCATAACTAGAACCTTGTGACACGAGCTATGCATGTGCCGTATTTCTATCGAATATTGTTTTCCTTCTTCTCCCAAGGATCCGCTATGTGAGGTGTCGAAAACGACATTGTCAACATACATGAGGTACCCGATCCGGCTTTCGATTTTGACACGGAAAGTTGCATTGAAGCTTTGTACGCAATGTGCAAAGAATTTGGGGAGTTTGATTTATTGGAGTAGATTTACAGCATCAGTGTACGTCACACGCTTGCTTGACGAGTACTTTGAAAGTCCATCGAATCTTTTTTTACCTAGCACATGTGAATCTCAAGTGTACATCTACCAAGTGTATTGAAATCATTGTGTAGCCCCCTGAACCACTTTCAAAGAATTATCAAGACTCGAAATACCATTTGCATTACTAACTGAGTACCTCAGCTATCATCCAAAAATCTAGTACTATGCTATATATTCTTTATCCTCTTTACAACCCGTTAAGCAAGATTCTGATACGTTTTACAGAATCGTATCACACACACACACATACACACATGTCAAATAAAACACAGTCGATACTTTCTCCCAAGACTCCATCATGTAGTCTAGCCATGCCAAAGAAAGTTATTCTACAACCCCAGTACCGCACTACACAACACCTTCATTCCCATCTCCTGCCAAACACGGAAATAAGCCGTATTTTCCTCTTAGCAGAAATGCTAGTACCCTGAGCTTATACAAGTCCATGCATACCTAAACACAACTCGTCTTTTTGAACCCACTAACCCATCCATAATTACTCAGTCCATGTAAATCGAGTTAGTAAAAACTTTCAAACTCGGTCTCACTATCATGATCATCACTACACCACAAAGGCAAACAAGCAAATGCGAAGACAAGTATCTTTGTTCCTACTAGTACTATGGGAATCTTTGCTTGGTTTGGGGAAGTGACGGGAGTTCGCTGTTTAGATCTTCAATTTCTGGTTTTTTTTGTTGAATGGAGGGGGAGAGGAAGGAGCTATGTTGACTTGAGCGGGGATTTTGTGGACGGAGGAGGGGGGGAGAAGGGGGGATTTGGAAGATGAGAGATGTAGATATGAAGGATTGACGCTGCAGTTGGAACAGGTGATCAACCTCAGTGCTGGGGGTTTCCTTTACTGACGAAACTTATGACAAATTGCGTGTCGCGTGTTGCGTGCTGCGTATTGCGTATTGCGTGCGTGGTTTTTCTATACACATACTTTCGCGCGAGATATATGGTTTGCGAGAATTCGTATTCTTGTGCTTTGTGAGGTTGTTCGTATCCCTTATGCTTTGAGAGAAATTTGTATTCATAGGGTTTAGGGGGTGGGGAGTCTTGTCGTATTCGTTTGATTTTTGTATACCATTTTTGTGAGGCTGCAGATGCGTACGGATGGGTGCGGACACCATGTTGGTGGCGGATGTGATAGAAGTAGAGTTTAGCGATCATCCTTGTGATATGCTTGTGATGTGCGTCGAATCACTTTTCTTTTTGTTCTTTGGGGTAGCATATGTTCGTATTTACAATGTCTATTTCGAGGCGATAGTTGAGCTACGGGTTTAATAAACCTGATGATTAGTTCTCGGATACTCCCGGACCACAGGCATTGCGGGCACTGCGGGCACTGCGGGCACTGCGGGCACAGAAAAAAAGATTATGTTGATCTTAGCATGGGGGTGCAACACAAACTTTAATGGCAGGGCGCGATGTTGACGGCAGGAAACACGCGAGTTTCGCAAATGGCAGGCTAGAATGACACCTGACACGGCCAGCGCTGTGGATGGACGCTTTGGGCCATTTCTTTCTAGGGCTATCATTGTGGCTGGAGCCAAGGTATCCTGCCCTGCGGTACCGCTAGCTCAACCTCACGTCTCAGTCGCCTGTGTCTTTGCTCTTTCTAGATACCCTGTCTTGTGATATTGTCTTGTCGCCCAGTTTGTGTGTGGGTGAACGGCAAAAGCATTTCCTTAGACCGCGGCTCTACGGACCTATCTGAGTAAATGTATCGGCTGACAGCCTTTTCGATTTTCCGATTTTCCGTTTTCATTTTGTTCCCGTTCAAGGTTCAGAGCTTCAATAGGAGAGGGGAAGCTGGTTCTATAACTAGCGCAGTCACGTAATTGCTTTTTCCTAGACGGAGCCCATACTGTTTATGGATTGAGTTTAGCAGACGGAAAACAGAGCTGAACTGAACAGGTCCTGAACAGGTCCTGAGAAGAAGACTGCTTTGTTACTTTTGGTTTCCAGGTGGAAAAAATTAAGCAAACATAGATTAAATATTCTTGGCGTATAGCTGTAGATGCTGCGGATAGAGAGGAGATGCGCTAAGCTGCTTTTTTTTGTTGCCTTCTGTTTACGCTGCTGCAAGGTGGTGTGTTGTTGCATATACGCTATCACGCTTCAAGGCGTGAACGTACGATAACAAAAGCAGGCCGCGAACAGAGCTTGCGGCAGGAACGGCACTTGGCTAGATTGAGCTCCACTCTAGTAGCGTCATCCAGCGGAGCGGCTCTAATGGGGTCTGAGTAAGTAAGTGGCGGGCCTCGGGGAAACGTCTGTTCGGGGCATCGCTCAAGTGCATCCATGGGCCGACTTTTGGGCCAGCATGTTCTAACCGAAGTCAGAGTTGTTTTGTACAGTATTATGGATACTGTCTATTTGGCAATGATGATGGCACGTAATTTAAAAAGATATGCGCGCTAATGGTGGGAACGGTCAGTATTCCTCTAGTATTCCGTAACGCCGAGCAGTTGGCATGCCTCGTGTCATGGCTAATATCTGAGTGAGAATGTAGTGCTTAGGGATTACCCAAAGCATTACGTTCGATCAATATCCACCAGGTCTTGTATGGGCCGGGCACGACAGGCCAACCCCAGTAGCCTGCGACCTTTGCTTTCTCCAGGAGTTCCTTTTTGTTGCCGCACAGGCTTGTGGGGGTCAAGGGCATAGTTGTGTGACTGAGAGATTCGGAGGTTTTTTCATGTAAGCGGTATGGTTGTCACCATCGGTGTCAGGGCATTGATGATAGACATTGGTGATACGAGCCTCCACAAGGGGACCATGTGTAGACAATAAGTACAGTAAACGCTATACATGGAATGCATCGCCTGGCGGTTCCGTAGATTGCCGGGTCAGGGTATTCGAGCCGACAAACGTGTACCTGGGCTAGAAGACGATCTAGGTTGTCATCGCCATGATCGCGACATACGAGACGCAGGACCCCGTTTGCGGTGACAGGAGCGCAATGTGACTGCTGCACAGCGTCGTGCAGATGGTCATGGCCTATAAGATAGGCGAAGGACATGGTGTGGCGGCCGTGCAGCGACGTTTGCGAAGGAAAAAAAGCCTTGTTCATCTCGCCATTAGTTCTCGCATATACTTCCCCTGCACCCTCTAGTTTCATGGCACTCTCTTTTGACAGATGCCAACGTGGGCCCTGACAGCAGCACGATCAGAGTGGACGAGCGACATGAAACCGGACTTTGTCGCCTTGCCTGGAGGTAGCTCGGAATCCCAGGCTGTGACGCGTGCCCGCAACGGCTCTCCCCACTGCCGTTGCCCAATGCAGCATGAGTGGTGTGTATCACTGCTCGTTGGGGTCGACTGCTTGGCTGTAATAAGAGCGCATACCGCTTTTGAATGGGCCATGTACGCGGAGCGTTGGACCAGCATGTAGTGGGTGTAGTGGGAAGCGCTATGGCCTGCGGTGCCGACTTGGGCCCGAGGCGTAGTCTCGAATGGTTTACACCCCCGACCATGCCCCAGTCAGCACATTCGTGACGAATAGGAGGATTAACATCGTCGAGACAAGAGCGGCACAATGAGGGGCACTCACAGGCCCGCTCCAAGAGCGGCCGTCTGGTCTATCCCGGAAAAGCACCGTCGCACCAGGCACGCCCGCCTCGATGGCCTCGAAACCATCCCCACCACCACAGTCTGAGTGCAGCATTGCGACAAGATGACGCCCACGCTCTATTGGCTGAGCCTTTTCACGCTTACAATGCGAACCGTTGGTTTAGCCACACGGTACGGCCGAGATCATCCCCTCATCTGTGATCGACGTGGTGAAACGCTGCCAGCAGGGGACTGGTTAAGGTAGTAGCTCGCCTTGGGAGGTGGACCCCAAGAGCGGATGGAGCCCCGAGTCATACCGTTCGTAAACACGAGCATATCAATAAGGCCTTACCTGGACCTTCGACACTCTGCCCTGCTTCACCGTGCACGTGGTGTCTGAGTACGACGCCACCACGCGGGAACTGCCTCCCAAAGGATTGGATCTTCGACAAGATTTCCCCTGGCTATATAATTCTGTTATCGCCAGCATGCTCGCGAGCTGCAGCCAGGGTTTGACGCTTGCCCTTTGTTTTTGAGTAAGCGACATTGCGGCGCACCTGTCGCCTGGAGCGGGCAGCATTCAACCAAGAAGAAAAAAACAAGAAATCCTGGCCTCATACAGCTCCTAACGCAACAGAGTTCTGTGCTATGTCGTTTCAGGCCTCTGCCAAACATCACTGGCCTGCGGGGTACCAATAGAATACGCCACTTCAGTGGACGCCTGGCTTTGAGCTCGCTACCACCTTACACTTTTCAAAGCCTATTTTCAGCAGCCAGATCCTGATTTCATCACAGTCCACCAATCGTGTAGCATTATTTGGTCTCTGCCGAAGGATCTCGGCACCCTTTTCTCCAAGTAGACCTGTCCTCGAGCTCTAAACTGCTCAGTAGCCAACCCACTAGGCATACTTTACTTGAGCACTAGCACACGCGGCCTAAAGGAAAAAAACGTTTACGGGGGCGCGGGCGGTATCTTAAAGTGAGCCGGACAAGCAGGCCCTTGGTGACGACCCGCATCCACTACGCACAGCAGGGGAGGGGGTCTGGGCTTGCACTGTATTCACCCTGTCCCTAGCTGCATGGCCCAGTTTTGATCCTCCATGCGGGACAGCAGGGGCTAGCAGCCATGTGGTTTAAGGAGGTGTAGCGTATGCAGGTCATGACTTTGATATGCCCATCGCTGGCCCACCTGTTGGTCTTATTAGGGCATTACATCTCTTTGTAAATGCAGCCTCGCTTGCCACCACAGTCTGGACTCGACCCCAGCATTCGTTTGCCCTGTCATCGACTCGAACCCCTCTGCGCAAGGCTGACAGAAACCCCGTAATGGAGTTTGAATGTAACTAATCACTGATTATCTGTACGAGCCCACTCTTCAGGCCGACTGACCAACGACACCCCATTCGCATACCTTTTTTACGTTGTCGCTGGTGCGTCCAAGTGACCATGACCATCACACAAGTCTCCGTGGCGAACCCGAGAGACCACCCCGATAATGCGAATCTGCCAACGTCCAACCAGCCTGCCACCATCATAGGAACCACTGTTGCTTTCCTAGTATGTAGCATGAGCCAGACTCGTCCACTGCCATCTTGTCTTCTCGCTCGCTAACAATGAGCAGAGCATTGCATTCATTACCCTGTGCCTAAGGTTATGGGTCCGTATCAAAGACCGTCTTTGGGGCTGGGATGACTGCTTTGTCGTTCTCGCAGGTATTGCGAGTTTTTGTGGTGACATTCTAGTATGCATGAGTACGTAGTAGCACAAGATCGACTGTGGGTTAGTAACTGACGGATGTACTACAGTGCCGGCTGATGGCCTTGGTCTACACTTGTGGACACTTGATGCAGAGCATCTCATGTTGTATTTTAAGGTATCTTCATGCAACACCATCAACATGTATCAACCCATACTGACGCTGAGAACAGCACATCTATTCCACCAATGCAGCATATTGTGCTAGTGCCACCCTGATCAAGCTCGCCATCCTCCTCCAGTATTTACGTCTATTTGCTGAAACTGCGCCATCAACAACCTCCAACGGATACCGCCTCGCCAGGCGCCTCATCTGGGGAATGATTGTAATCTGCACACTATGGGGCTTGACATTCTTCATGCTAGCACTCTTCCCATGCCGTCCCATAGCCAAAAATTGGAACATGAACCTTCCGGGTCGATGCATTGGTTGGGGTGCCAAAGATCCCACCCAATTCTTTCCCATGTTCCTTGGCCATTCTATTAGCAATCTGGTACTCGATGCTATGGTACTGCTGCTGCCTGTACCGTTCATCACTGCATTGAGGATCGCAGGTAAGAGCAGAGCGGGACTGATTGGCCTATTCATACTGGGGTCCACGTAAGTAAAACAAAGCCCATCATCACTCGAGCACAAGAGACGATTCTAACGTATAGGCAGTGTTGTGTTTGTGGCATTGGGCCGCTTAATCGCTCTCGCAGTCGACCGCGCTGGCACTGTACCCATGCTTGACATGTCATTCCACACACCGGTCGTGTACATCTTTGCCGTTCTCGAGGTCAACTTTGCCATCATTACCGCTTCGATTCCGATATTCTGGCCAGTCATAGCAACACTGGCATCCAACAAGATCTTCGTCGTCAATGAAGTTGAGATACGTGTGGAGGATATAGCAAGGCATGAAAGCTTTGACTCCAACGGCGCCATCAGCTTGACCGACAGAAAAGACTCACCGGGCGGAGACAGCAAGAATGGCATGGTGACTACAATACTGGATCACATTCCTCGCAGGTCGGGAGAAAAACTTAGCAACGGCAACCATGCGCGAGACGGCAGCGCCGCTTCATCCATCCACCAGCCCATGGGGGCGGGCTTTGTAGGACGCAAGGGCAGCAACGCTTCGACGATTGGGCGACCTTTTGCGGAGCTTGGATCGCGTCCGAGCCAAGATTCGTCACGCCATCTATATCAGATTTCTTGCAAAGATCACAGTTCGAAAAACCTAACGAAGAACGATGGCGACGACTGGTTTGCGGAGATGGACAGGGTCAACCCGCACGGGCCGGTGACGACAACGGTCCAGAAAACGTCTGTGCCTTTTGAGCACATGAAAGTGTTTGATAACAAATAGTAGGTGGAGCGATGGTGAGATGAGTAGATGCATAAGCGTTTTCCGTTGGTCGTTCCTTCACGTGATACCCTGCAGCGAGATGCAACATGTCCTGTTTGTTTTTTTAGCCTTGTTTCTCTTCATGTACGTAAGTAGTAGCGCAGACAAAAGAAGCCACATTAGTCCATGCATCAACAATGACCCGAGAAGGATCATCGGATAAGTTCCCACGTGTCGAAGGCTTACGTCGTTGTAGTTGTCTGGTTTGGCAAAATCCTTGAGCCTCGGCCCCCTCGGCCGCGCCCGTTCGGGCCGATGCGAATGCAATACCCAAGATGCCCCCAATGCCCCATGGTTTCGGGTCCATGTCGGGAGATTGCATCTGGAATGGTAGCATTGCAATTACATACGCATACGCAAGCAGCCATGGTTTGTGTTGAAGTAGTACAAAAGCGGGTGCCCGTAACCGCGTCTGTCGCAAAACTTTCTTGCAGTGGGGTCCTGGTCCCACCGCTATCTGTAGAGCCGTTGCGCACATGGACATCTTGAATCAGAACTCGATCATCTTGTCCACGTTGGGCACAGTCTTTGATCCCCGAGGTAGGATGCTGGATGAAACGGTGGTTTTGCGGCTCACCATTGAGATCCTACTTACTCTGCCCTGGCAGCAGCCAAGCCTCCCATGCGCCACACTACTGTAACATACTACCAAGTTGGATGGTCATCTGTCCACACCTCGCATGATATGGCGCCCATGTTATCAATCAGTAGTAACCAACGAACCGAGGTATTGATTCGACCTTGACCACGCTACACCTCGTGTCATAGTTGCAGCACACTTGGGCTCAATGTAGCATCAGCGCTAGCCGCACGTTCAAGCCTCGACCCTGATGCTTCGTCGCCGGCTGCCGAAGCATGGCAAAAGCTTGAGTGTCGTCGTCGTCATCATGATTGCGCCACCCCCATCGCTACTACATACATCAACTGTCTATGGTACGGAGTCAGCACGTAGTCTCTTGCCAACCAACACTTTGGTCGCTAATACTAAACGCACAAAAGCATATGGCATCAACATTCGGCCTATGTCGAAAACACACAAGTTGGCAACATCCAGTGTCTATGTAGTATGGACAGGATGTTAGGTGACGGCCTCGTCCTTCGGTATTTCCATGCCGAATATTTGAGACCTGCTGTTTCCGGTTACATCGAGACCAACCATTCAGCTTCCCGTCGCACACAGACACAGCTGAGCAAAGCTTTTGTCGTCCTCTGAATGGCTACCAACGCTCGATCTGCACCACCACTTCTGCACCTTGCCCAACCTGGTTGGAAAGAACGCTTGATGACAGGGTTGTTATAACTCCGCGGCTGCAGTACCACCCTGTTGCCACAAGAACCAGGCTGTTTAAATGTCAGGCTGTCCGCTCACAAGACCCGTGTTGTAACTGTCATAAGGCACTTTTGATTCGCTTGCCGCACGGGGTGAAGCTCCAAGAAACCACGCGACCAAGCAGATTTCATCGCAATGGCTTCTGCAGCAGAAGTCAAGCCCGAGCTTGATCGCACGACTGAAAAAGATGTCGAACGTCGAGGCAGTGTCGCAAGGACGGAAAAGGGAAGATGGGAGCGCTTATGGCCTGTGATTGCGTGTGGCGCTGGTCTCTTTAGTGATGGCTATCTGAACAATGTACGACAACACCCAAGCGACAATAGTTCCTAGCGCAGCAACAATACTTTGGCCCAAAGCATCTTCAAAACGGAAATACCGTCGGATATCGGGATTTGCTAACACCATGTCTAGATTATTGGGCCCGTCAACACCATGCTCAAGACCATCTATCCCAAGTCGTATGCGTCTTCTTCAGCCCAGGCAAACGTAGCGAGTATAACATTCGCTGGAACGGTGGTGGGCATGTTATTTTTCGGCTACACATCCGACCACTTTTCGAGAAAATGGTCCTTGTTCGCTTCGACAATCATCATCATCCTGTTTGCAACACTAGGCACGGCTTCGTATGGGGCCGGCGGTAGCCCCAGCGGTCTACTCACAGCACTGGTCGTGTATCGCTTCTTCTTGGGAATCGGTATGATAGTCAACGCAAATTTCCAGTAAGTAAGAACATACTGACGCAAGTA